CTTTCAAAAGCAGAGCTTTCGAAATTGGATGTAGTCGGGACGCGGATTTCTTGGCAACCCGTCCCCTTTTTCGAAAAGCTGCGTAAACCTCATTTTTTGAAGGAAGAGCAGCTTTTTGAAAAAGGGCGGGGTTGCAGAAAAAGCCACGTTCCAACTAATTTCACTTTCGAAAGCTCCACTCAGGGAAAGTGAGATCAGAAGAAGATATCCAATTTCCTGCAGAATTTGCATATCCTCTTTCTAATCTTCCATGTAGTCTAGACAGCCTGAGAGTAATAAGCCATTGAAACAATGTACCAAGGGGCACAGTGGATTCTCTATCACTGACATTTTTAATGAAGATTAGATGTTTTTCTAACAGATCAGCTCTAGGAATTATTTTGAGGAAGTTCCATAGCAGGGGTAGGGATCCTTTCTTGGGTCAGGGCTGCTGACTCACAGAAAAATCAGTCAGGGGCCACATATAAGTAAGAAGCAAAAAAGAAAAATCAAACGGTCACTGGCATTGCTCCCAACTGAAAAAGGAAAAAAAACACTCACACACCAGAGTCTGAGGTGTGGGGGGCAGGCGAATAGGTTTTGTGTGCTCCCGCCCCAAGGTGGGATGGCACAGGCTCCCCGATGCTGGAGGGGAACCCTGAGCCTCAGGGATTGGATCCAGGGAAATCAGAGGCCACATCCAGCCCACAAGTCTTATGTTCCCCACCCCTGTTCTATAGTCTGTGTTAGATAGGAGGTCAGACTAGATAATCACAATGGTCTTGTGATGGCCAGAACTGCCTTAGAATAGAGGGCTTTGTTGATGCTAAACTGTGTGACAGCTGATAGCCAGCCAAGCTATCAGTCCTATCCTTAGGACACTTGCTATCCTTACCTTGCCTTGCAGGGAGTCCTTGGTGCCCCCACTTCCTGAACCCCTTTGCAGTGTCCTGTCCCCGTCCACACACAGAAATTACCAAGTCTGCTGTCTACTGGGGAAGTAAATGGTTACTGGGTGAGGCTAACTGGTTTTGGTTAACTGGTAGGGACTGGAGCAGCTCCCCACCTGCCCTGGTCTCCCTGCTGCAGGTTACATGCTGGCTCCCCGTTCCCAGGGAGACTTTGCTGCATACTGCAGAGCTTGCAGCTGGTGTAACTGCTAGGATTTTTAGCAGTTATACAGTTACATTTTTAAACTAGTTCTTACATCCCTACTATTTGCACTGCTGCCTGCTGGCCCAGCTGATTGGAGAGAAGACCCCGTTTTTTCCCTTTGTTTTGTTAGACTTTAAAACATAAACTCGTAAGTATGTATAGCTTACTAGTGTGAACACGAACATTGCACAATATTAATGCCCAGTGTGTCACTGCCTTTCCTTTATCTTACATAATGTTCTTGATACGTAAGTGTCATAAGAGCAATGAGTTAAGCATGGTGTGTTTGTCAGGCTTGATACAAGTTGCTGTTAGTGGAAGACAGTGAATCCTTTGCCACTGGGTTTCAAGGGGAGATCTTATGGTCACAGGTCCCTTATGACTTTGGAATTTATGAATGGGAATAAGTAGCTCTGGTATGAGCAGTTTTTTATACTGTATAACTGTGTCCAGAATAGGGAGTTTTCTGCCTTATTCAAGATGCAATATAAGAGGGGAGGGAGGCTGGGTAACTGAATTCTGCTGATTGCTGAAATGGGCAGTATCAGCCTGCTACCGAATGTATCAGACACTTCATTAGTTTTACTTTGTATTTTAAAGAGTGCTTTAAGTTTTTTATGAGTGGTACTATCTAGCAATGACTGATCAAAGTAATCACCTGGCTATTTCAAATGCTACTCGCTGCCGTTTAAATGTGCTGCTCAGTTACAACGCTGGTATTGAGGCAATTGTTTGCAGAATACAGTTTTATGACTTTTCTCTTTCCCCACTCTAGAGTGAACAGAAGAGATGGTGGACTATCTAGTTAACACTGAAATTAACAGCCAACGGATTGCTTCTGTGGAAAACTGCTTTGGGGCATCTGGACAACCCCTTGCTGTGCCAGGAAGGGTTCTTTTGGGTGAAGGAATTTTGACCAAAGAATGCCGCAAGAAGGCCAAGCCTCGGATATTTTTCCTGTTCAATGACATCCTTGTGTATGGGAGCATAGTGATAAACAAAAGGAAGTACAACTCGCAGCACATCATACCCCTCGAAGATGTGACCTTAGAGACCTTGCCGGATACCTTACAAATGAAGAACCGATGGATGATTAAAACTTCCAAGAAGTCCTTTGTGGTTTCTGCTGCCTCCCTCACAGGTAGGATGCATTGGGCATCTGCTGCCAAAGACAGGGAGGCAGCCCTCCACGGAGCATGCTGCCCCCTGGATCCCCGACAAGGCCACTGATATCTGCATGCGCTGCACACAGACCAAGTTCTCCACGCTCACACGCAGACACCACTGCCGGAAGTGCGGCTTTGTGGTATGTGCAGACTGCTCCAGGCAGAGGTTTCTGATGCCGCGCCTGTCTCCCAAGCGCTGCCAAAGACAGGGAGGCAGCCCTCCACGGAGCATGCTGCCCCCTGGATCCCCGACAAGGCCACTGATATCTGCATGCGCTGCACACAGACCAAGTTCTCCACGCTCACACGCAGACACCACTGCCGGAAGTGCGGCTTTGTGGTATGTGCAGACTGCTCCAGGCAGAGGTTTCTGATGCCGCGCCTGTCTCCCAAGCCGTTGAGGGTCTGTACCCTGTGCTACCGGCAGCTGATGGCAGAAAAGAAGAAGGAAGCAGAAGGTGGCCAGGAGCAGCCAGATCAGATCCATTCAGCCATGACAGGTTATGAACCGTCTAGTGGGGATGACAGTGATAAATCTGATGATGACAAAGTGGAACAGTGGCCGGCAGGTGCAGAGTTTTATGCCTCAGAAGTACCTTGGTCATCGTTCCACAGCTGATCTTCTTACTCTTGGTTTAAACTTCAGGAGCCAAATTCTGACCCATGACTATAGCCTTCAGTATTCTTAGTGGTGAGCACAGCATGCTGGGTGGAATTTAGTCCCTTTGAGTCAGTCTGTAGTGAATAAGAGAACTTGTGTCATGTTACATTGGCAGAGCACGGCCTACATTAAGGCAGTGTGGCATAGTGGACAAAGCACTAGATTGGCAACCAGAAAACCAAGGTTGGGTACCCTGCTTAGCCGTTCACCTGCTGGGTGACTGTGGACAAGTCATGTCTCCTATCTATGACTCAGTTTCCTTATTTATAAAATGGGGCTAATAATACTGACCTCTTTAGTTAAAAGCTTTGCAATCTACCGATCTCTATACAAGAGCTAAGTATTATTGCTATTGTCTCAAATATGCGGGGGTGGACTCTTTTGTTGAAATTAGATACCCATTGATGTGCTGTTACTGCCTGTATTGTTCCTTCTCTGTAGGAAATGGAGGATTTCAGCCTCCCCGGCTGCCATTTATGAGCACTAAATACATATAAAATGCTAGAAATAGAAATCTGAAGCAATGCAATACAATCCTGGGCTGCTGTCCTTGCACCTCAGTATGGGAAGATGCTGAAAAATAGCAAGCTGGAGATGTGGGTTAGACTTTTAGTCACTCCCTCTTGCTCCCCAAGCTGCCTAAAGTGGGGAAATGGTGCTCTCAGGAATGTGGAAGTCTCAGGAATGTGGCTCTGGAGGCAAACCTGCTGACTTCTCATGAGCATCATCAGCACTGGAGAGGCCCTCCCACCCCAGGCAGGGAACTGCCTCTGTAATGACAGAAGGTAATGGGAGAGTTAAAGCTTGAGAGGGGTGAGTCGAGTGGCTGGCTGAATTCAGCAGAATCACTTCACCTCTGTTCCACACATGTATATTTCCAGGTCTCTAAATCTGTAACTCAGCTAGATTTCTGTACCACAGCACCAGTGTTGTACCTCCCATCCCAGCCTGTGGGGCGATGTAGCATAGGGTCATAGAGCTAGGTGAAGGGGGTGGTGAAAAGATGGGTGGATGGTCAAAACTAAGGTCAGATTCTCCGACGTGCTGAACATACTGAATGCCCAGAGACTGACTCACTCATTAAGGCTCCAGGCCTTTGCTGCAAACATGTTGCATAACTTCAAGCCCTGCTGACTTCAGCATTATGCACATGTGTTTTCAGGTTCAGGGCATAAAATCATATGTTTAATTAAAATTGAACTTTGACATTAAAGTTAATCTCAAGTGAGAGGCTGTGTTTATTCAATTACACTGTCATAGTCTCATGTGTAACTAAAATCATATCCGTGAAAGCTAGACAAAAACAATTGTATTGCAGCAAATAACTGAACAACAAAAGCTACCTTTTTTGCATATTTTATATTGTGTATTTTATTCTCTGGAGCAGGTATTTAGTTAAAAGTGATTTTCAACATAAATTTTTCCTTACTATAGCCCAGCCTATTTAAGCAATGAATTGCATGCCAAAAGACCAGGTTGGGTTTTTTTTAAGACTACTTCAAAGTAATTCTTATCATGGATTTTATATACTGCCAATGTCCAACCAGTTTGTATTAATCAACCAATTGTGAATAAAGCTATGGCCAAAGAAGGGGGGGAAAAGTGATTAAAGTAAACGTGTTGTTGTTTAATAAAAAAACCCCAAACAAGCATTGAGTCATATGCATTTCTCCAAGCACAAATTCAGTAGCAACTCTTCAGTTATGTGCTGAACATCCTGGCTTTCTATTTACTACTTGAAAGTGAACATTACTGAAAAATATCCAAGTCTGCTGCTCCTTTTCTGTTTATCCCATTCTTTTTCAGGATACTTAGTTTTCCCAAGGCTCTTGTTATCTCCTGCACCAGGATATGGTAACTGAAGTGACATTTTCTGGGGGAAAGGAGGGAAAGACAGTGGAGAAAGGCTCCAAAATATCCCTTCCTGGAATGCTGAAACAACCCACTTCTTCTGCCTTTCCTTGTTTATCACCTCACAAGAGGCCAGTGAGAAGAAAAGTGGGCAGAAAATAAACTAAGAGACTAAAGAAAGAAGGGCTGATAACTTAGGGTGCGTCTACACTGCACCCTTAGCTTGAAACAAGCTAAGTAATTTGAGCTATGCAAATTGCATAGCTTATTTTGAGTTAATTTCAAAATACAGCACTATTCCAAAATGCCTCTTGCTCCTTGTGGAACGAGGTTTACAGGGACATCGGAACAGAGAGCCTGTTATTTCATTTTGAAATAACAGGTGCACTGTCAAGATGCAGGAAACACGATTTCAGGATACCACCGCTGTCTAGACACCCCCCCAGTGTCTCAGTCACTAATATTTCTGTGACCCTGAACAAGATACTGGGGTTGAAAGATACTTTGCATTTGTAAGCGCTCTATGGAAAGTGAACACTATCTGTGCTAGGAGTGCTCATCTACATTAGGCCTTTTTTGGCATTTTCTACAGTTTTTTTTTCCACTGCTGCTGCTAACACTGACTCAGCTCTATTGGTAGGCACATTGGCGTAGACAAGATACTTTCAGAGACACAGTGCATGAAGCATCAGGAGCTGTGCCTATCCTGGGTCTTCCAGGATCACCGTCCCACCAGTGCAGCTGAACAAGTGGCAGCAACAAGGAGCCTATTCGGAAAAAAGCTGAGGAGCCCTGCACCACCCTTGTATGGGTAAGTATTACAGAGAGTTGCAGCCATTGCTGGGCAGGAAATGGGCAGGAAATTTCATAAAAGTTCTGGTTTTTTTTAAATTTTCTGACCAGCTTATTGTGTGTTGGCCAAGACCACAGAATGAGTGTTCAGAGCCTGGGAATTCCTGGCTCCCAGCCTTGTCAACACACACGCTTTACAGCAGGGTTTGTGCTAGTACAATACCACCTGTATTTTTAACATCACTAGCTTTTTGTTCCATTTTGTTTTGCCTGATCCTATGTCTGCTCCATTTAGAAAGGGCTTCCTGTTTTGGAATTAAATAAATCCTACTGCTGACTTGATAATGGGATTTTAAATAGTGGAGAGTTGACACTGTGAAGCTTGTGTGTGGTCATTGCCTGACAACCAACGTAAGCAGGGCCTATCAATCACAGACACTGACTTGGAGGGAGAGAGCATCCAGTGTGGATTTGCAGGAAACATAGTTTTGTCTTGAGCACTTGCTGGGGGCTGGTATCTATCCAACTCCAGGACCAGAATTGAAAGCGATAGGAGGGGTAGAGAGCTGCAAGGGAAGGTACCAGAGCCAGGAAGTGAAGAGGGGAGTAAAGTGTGAGAGAAGTTCATGAGAGAAGTTCATGCCGGTTTCAACAGACACTGGAGCAAGCAGGGTGATGGGCCAAATAAAGTGGAAACTGAGTGACTGACTGGCACCCAACCATTGAGAGCATTAGGAGACTTTCTGGCACTGATTTAAAGAGCCTCCATACCAGTAGTGCCAAGGCATGAGAATGAACTGCTGCTGTGGTGGGTGTGGAGAGGGAACCTTTCTTTTTCTCACCCTATAACAGCATAAAAGGTGCCCTCTAAGCTTTTGAGAGCAAAGAGAAACATTCCTTTAGTTGAGCAGTGCACAGAAACAGAAGCTCTGGGACATGTGACCCACTAAATGCTTTGGAGGCTTTCCAAGCAAAATGACAGGAAAACAGAGCTAAAGTTCATGGAATGCTGAACCCCACAGCTTCAGCACGCCAAAGTCAATAGCAACATAATGAAGTGAACAAAGCCACTAGTATAGCAGCAGCCTGCTCCACAGGCAGCAGAATGAAAGGTAAGGGTGACAGATTTGAGTAAGGAGTAAAGTGAAATGAAAGGCTCTAAAGCACTATAGTAAATTAAAAATATGTGCTAGGCTTCTAGCCTCCCAATGGTATGGCCTGGACAAAACACACAGTGTGCTACAGTGAGCATATTTCTGACTGGGTGTAGTTTGCAAGCGTGTGAGGGTGCCCCAGTAAGATCAGTGCTGGAGAATGGGTATTAGAGTAGCCAAGTCAGATATGGGTTCTTTCCTGCTGCAGAGCTAATATGGCATTTGTTTTTAACACAGAGGACCAAACTATGCTGAGCCTTAATGAGATCATCCTAAAATTAATGGTTCTGCTTGTTTGACTCTTTGGTCTAAGTTTTAGTTCTTCATTATGTAAAGGAGAACAAACTTGTTAACACCAAATTTGCTCTCATTCACCATAGGATCTTTGCACAGGAACCTAAAGGGAATTCCCCTGTGACTGGGACTTGAGTGCTGAACACGTATCATAGTTCCTCAGAGCCTGGGAGTGTAGCTCTAATGAATAGCCAGCCCCTGCTCAAGATTGGCTCTGGGCTAACGTATCCTTCCCACCTCACAGTTACCAGCCAGCACCCCAGCTAGTCCACGGGTGGGGCTTTCCACAGCAAAGATACAGATGACGCTCTTGCCCGGCGCTGAGTGTGGGTTTCGAATGTAGATGACAAGGGCGAGTTTTCCAAACATAATTATTATTCCCAGCCATCTGTTTAAGGAAACAGCCTGAGTCACCATTTCACATTATAGTCAGCACCAGCAATAACCGAAAAGTAGCCATCCGTAGCAGTTTGGCTCAGATGGGAGAAATGCCTCAGCAGAGTGAGGTAGATGTTCCACTTATTTAGAGCATCTTTGCACCTCTCTGCAACATCAAGTAGCCATAAAGCCAGTTTAGCCGGCCTTGCAAGATCTTCCCAAGCATGTGAGGGCGTCAGGTGCCATAGGCATGCTGTATCCAGGCCTCCTCCCTGTCTCCCACTGGCAGCTAGTGCAAGCAAAAGCAGCCTTCAGAGGGCCTTTCTAGCACAGGAGAATATTTGTCCATAAGCAAGAAACCGTTCTGTCCACAGCAGATGCTTTGAATAATTTGGCAGCACCCACCCCCATGTAATACACTGGTAAAAGCAAAGTGATTCATCAAAGACAGCCACAGCAGGAGCAACAGCAAAGAGAGAGATGCTCACGAGAGCCTGATCAGAGGCTGTAGTTGTCAGGAGTTAGGATGGGTGAGGAAGGAGTTAAGCAAGGTTGCACTGGCCCAGATTATACCAAATGATTAGCAACTGAGAGGCTTCCCAAGAACTCCTCCTTTCGCACTGCTCCATGGGCCACTGAGTACGAGAGGCATGGCCAAATATGCTCTTGTGCCTACAGCTTGGTGGGGCTGTCAACTTTCCTGACCGGATGCCTCTCACAATAATAGGGTGGGGTCCAGTCAAAGTTGGCAACTCTATATGGTGCTCCTGAAGAGGTGCGTGGAAAGTCTCTCTAGCTTGCAAGCTGGTTTTTTTTTTTTTGATTGGCTGGTTCTCAGAAGCTGCCACCTCTTTTCCATGGAATTGAGAATTACGGCATGTGACCATTTAAGGCAGAAAGTGAAGGGAAATAAACAGTGGGCAGTGGGTTTTTTTCCCCCTCAAATTCAAAACGATATAAAACAAAACATTTGGCACCAGTGGTGCCAAAACTGAACCAGCACTGCAACCCTGTGCACCAGATTGTAATGTGCAGAGCAGGCAGCTAAGCTCCACAGGACAAAAGCAATTGTGGGGTTACTCTGCAATCAGGGCTTACTTTGTGCCAGGGCTGAGCCCCTGTGCTTGTAGGCTTGACAGTTCGTAGCCCCAGCCCCTCTGGGCTTGTTGCATCAGTTATAAAAATAAATAATTGCTTGAGCCCCAGCATCACTTGTTTCATAGAAGGCACTGTGTGCAAACCTCTCTTCCAAGGGCTTCCAGTTCCCAGGAAGCAGGATAAACAACAAATTCCCAGACAATTATACAAAATAAAAATGTCACAGGACTCTTAACAATAAGATGCCCAGTAGGAACTACTGGTCCAAACAGTATTAGAGCTCGTGAGAGCAGCTGCAACTCACATTAAACTCAACAGCAATTGAGTGTACCTCACCTCATCTTGCCTGGAAACAGTTAACCCTTGTGAGCAGGTTGTCCTAGCAAGGCTGCCATAGTCACAGTTGTTTGTGCACTTTTTCCACAAGTTCAAAGAGCTTCTCTTACTTTCCAAATTTTAGTTAAAGTGAATTGGGTTCCTCTTTCACAAGATTACTAAGATTTTCCATATAATACTAATTTCTGGGGGAGGGCAAAAACAGGACTGGACATCAGACTTTTGTTCTTTCAATGTTTATTACAAAATGTAGTGCTTTCGTTCAGACTCATGAATAAACTACATACTCTGCAGCATTGTAATTATTCTGCAACTGGCTTTCCCCCTTCTGCCAAAGAACATTTTGTAACACACTTGGAGAAGATCAAAAGCACACATTTTCCAAGGCAGCCAAATCCTTTTTCTATTAAGTAAATATATTTCAACTCCTGTTGTTATAGTTATTGCATCACACCACATGCTTTTATATTTTTATTCTGAAAAACAATTTCTTACACAAACAGGCTCAGAAAAAAAAGGAAAATGTTTGCTTGGGATGGGCAGGTCTCTTCTTTCCTGACAATGTAACAAGAAAAATGAACTCACATGCCTGTTATGGAAGAGTTCCATCTGTAGAACAAATGTGCCTATGTATTTTTCATATACTATGTATCTTCTATTAGAAGCTGAACCTCCTTTGGCCTTGTGACTAAAACACTGGATTGGGCCTTACATCTGGGTTCTGTTCCAAGCTTGCCACATACATT